GCACATCAGTTCCTAGAAACCGACAGCCCGACAACAGCACATGAGATTTTGATTATAGTGACGAAGGTTTCGTGCAGGACCATCCACACTTTTTGAAGGGCCGAATACCAAGACCTGGTGCACTATGTGCCACAAGGTCCCCAAACGACCCTCCGCAGGTTTTGAATTCAGAGTTTTTCCTTCTCCTAGACCAGTTGCCATCCAAGGCTATAGAACCCAACCTGTCCTGCTATTTACCCATAGCTGGAGGGAGAAGAAGAGGATTCACACCTTTTCTAAAGGTATTAGCACGTAAGTGAATGTAATGGAATTCGAATTCGGCTCTCTGATTCCTCAATCCATTACTCCACCGTGCCTTATATATATATATATATATATATATATATATATATATATATATATATATATATATATATATAAAGACAACAATTCAATAATAAAAAAAAGAGACAACTTTAAGGTTCCATGACTATAATTTATTTCCCCCCAAAATATATTTTACCTGGTTCATCTGGTCACATCTGTAGTTACAAATGTATTTGGTTTCTTTTGTTATAAAAGAAACCAAATACCTTTATAACAATTAGAATGTGACCTGATGAAAAAAAAAAAAAGGATGAGGAAATAAATTATAGTAATGAAACCTTAAGGTTGTCACTTTATTGTTGAATTAATATTTGCTCTGTTCTTACATTGAGCTCTCTGGATAACATCTTCTTTGGAATTGTTCACACAGATTACTAAACCTTTCATTAACTTACTACACACACACACACACACACATATATATATATATATATATATATATATATATATATATATATATATATATACATTTTCCCTGACGATCCGTTTATGTGAAACCTAGGTAGGTTTGTCTGGCTCACTAGGTATATATATATATATATATATATATATATATATATATATATATATATATATATATATATATTCAACTTGTCAAAAGATCATCAATCGACCTTTCATAGGAATTAACGTTTCCAGGTATTTTGTGTTCTGTTTAGCTAATCTAGACGTTGAGCCCATTACTTTATCATGTTTAAGTATATTTAAGTATTTTGGTAAATTGTCCGTTGCTTCCATCAACGGCTTTATTTTTTCTTTAAATATATGCATTGTATATCGATGGCGAATACGGTGACCCATCAGGGTTGTAGGGGCACCACATGTACTGCAGCCACAGCTGTGTTTCTTGGGCTAGATAACCTGACGGAGCCCAGCCCTCTCCAGGACGGTTTTCCATTCAGAGTTTTTCCTTCTTCTAGACCGGTTGCCGTCTAAAGCTATGTAACACAGTCTGTCGTGCTATTTTGACCACAGCCGTGTGAAGGAGAAGAAGGTATTAACATTTCAGACCGCTATCCATTAATCCACCATATATATATATATATATATATATATATATATATATATATATATATATATATATATATATATGAACATAGAAGTCAAAACTTAGAGGCGACCGTTTGTTTCGTGCTAGACACAATCGTCAGGCTATTATTTTTCTCGGCTATTTATATATACGCGTCAGTGTGCATTTCATCTATATATGGAATGCACCACTGACGATTGTGTCTACCATGAAACAGACGGTCGCCTCTAAGTGTTGACTTCTATGTTCACTTTTATATATATACATATATATATATTAAGAAATGGACAAAGTCCGACAATTTATTTATTAAAGACATTTTTATGTTTAACGTTCTTTTTTATACGATACAAGTATTTAAAGTAAATGCTCTGTTTATAATCCGAGAAATTTTCCATAGAAAATATTCGTCCTTTGACAGGATTCGAACCTGCATCCTCTGGAACCGTCATTTTACGCTGACGTGCCTTAACCGACTCATACGGTAGGCAAAGGTCGAATTGAAGTTTATAAGCAGTAAATTCGACCTTGCCCTACGAACGTTCCTTTGTGGCCGATTCGGTTAAGGCACGTCAGCGTAAATGACGGTTCCGTATAGGATGCAGGTTCGAATCTGTCAAGGACGAATATTTTTCTGAAAATTTCTCGGACATTCAGGCCGGTAAATGTTATTTAATACTATTTTATTATAAACAGAGCATTTACTTAAATACTTGTATCTATAAAAAAGAACGTTAAACATAAAAATGTCTTTATATATTGAATGAGACATATATATTTCAATATATATAGCATAAATATGTTTTAAAATCACTACAAGAATCGCCATTTTGTTTCAACATTTCTGGTGTCATATCAAGTGATGGTATTGGCTTTACTCTATTGAGCAAACTTGTAAGAATTGAATTTTTGGGATATTGGAATTTATTCCGTATGCACCAATCCTATACTTGGGTATACACATACACACACACACACACATATATATATATATATCAGAGAAAGAGGTTATAGTGGTTCCAACGAGAGAAAAGTGTGTATATTAAAAAGAAGAGAAGAGAGGTGCCGCAAACGTTTTTGGTTGTGATGTAAATATTATGCTTTATTTTCCATAATTTTACTACACTGGTTTCTGGTCTCGCGACCGTCCACATATTATTAAAAATAAATAATTTTTTCCTTATGTTTTTCAATGTTAAATATTCTCAATATGAGACATAGTCTGTTTTTGTGTTAGTAATCCGAATGTCTTTCTTGAACTGGCAGTGAAGAGTTCTGCGTGAAGGGTCATAAAACAATTAAGGTTGGTCCAAGAAGCCTGTTTTTCATTTACATTATGTATCCTACTGATTTCATCCATGTGCCGTTTTCTGTCTGAATTTTTGGGACGAGGTGTTATCAACAGACATGTGGTCTTACGGAAGAAGGACAAGAATACAACGGACAGAATATCGAAGCAACGAAGAATTTTCAGAAAAATAGAAACATAATACATTTTTTTACATCAGTTACTTGAGGACAATTGTCCTTATATTTGTTCTTTCATCAGTTGTCTGTCAAACCGGGTAATCAACAGAGAATTCCGAAATGAAATCTTTATTTAATCTACCCAGGGGACAAGAAGCCTAGTGTATTAAATCGTTGGTCCTTGGAATTGGTGATAACTGCGAGTTCAGTCTCTGGATCGGATATTGTGTACTTCGACAGAGTGGAAAGGAGTCTAAAAATAATTGAACAGTGTTAAAATAAGAAGAAGACTTTTATCCACGAGGCGATTGTCCTGTAGAACAAGACGGACGATATCCTTAGACATGGGCAGTGAAACGAGAACAGTCTATCCCCATGGTTTAAATAAAGGGCTCAGTTCGGAATTCCATGTAGAATAACCAGATCGATATACACCTGAAGAAGAACATAGGGTACCACCTCCGAAACGTTGTGATAACAACAACAAAGATGAAGACAAGAGTCCTCAGGTAAATAATTTGAATAAATAAACGCTTCGATATCATGTCTACTGTATTTCTAGCGTCCTTTGGTAAAACCACAACCAGTTGCCTCGGATCGTCTCTTCTAATGATTTTATACATATATATGAATACAAGAAATTGGGAAAAATATGTTGAAAGTTGCTACATTAAAATAAATTGTTTGAAAATCATAAAATCTCTTATACCAACAAAACATGAGTACAGAGTGCGATGGGTAAATTGTCGCCTTTTAATTTTTTTTTTTTTTTAATTCCGCGCATGCGCATTGATGTCTTTCATTTTGTCGACTGTACAGTAGAGTAGGGTCAGTTGGGCACTGTCTGTGACAAAAAGAACACAGTGAAGCAATTTACACCGCCAGAAATTTTGAAACATCATGCTGTACTGCTTGGCATTCGCACCGGAAGCTCCAAACGAACATTTCAGTGTGTTTGGGTGTCAATCTGAGGAAAACGCAGAGGATTCGGAAAGAGTTGGAGGAGTCGAGTGGTGATTACGAAGGTGTTTGCAGTGATCACTAGTGATGGTCGACGTTATGCCTGCTTTCATCTTCCCACAGAACCTCAGACTCAACACGGTAGCCTACATCAATTGCCTTGAGTAGGTAGTGGGTCAAAAGGGTGGCTGCTGGAAGAAACTATGTCTGCCAACATGACTCTGCACCATACCACACAAGCCGGAGAACTCAGTCATGGCTGTCAAACAATTTCTGCGGCTATATCACCACTTACATTTGGCCACCTAACTCCCCAGGCTGCAATCCATTTGATTATTATGTGTGGGGCACAGTTGAGTGAGGGACGAACAAAACTCTTTGTAACATAAAAAATGAACGCGAAGGCAAAGATTTTGGCAGCATTCACCAAATTAAACAGGGAGACTGTCCAGAAGAGATGCAAGATATTCCGAAGTCGCCTGGAGGCTGTGGTTGAAACCAATGATGTTTTTATTGAATACATTTACTCTTTAGTTTGTCAAGATATTTTTGTGTAATTTTGGTAAATATATCTGTTAAAATGAGATGTCAGTGTTATTTTCATTTCTGGACGACAATTTATCCATTGCAGCTTGTTCGCCTATCGTTCGGTTCACAAACGCCCACAATTATTTGAACAGAGGTAGAGATTTATCCCCTGTTTCCTGTTTAGGATTGGGTTTCCGGTTCCTTCTAAAGTCTATTTCCACTCTATACGTCAAACGTATCTGACTGAACACTGAAATGTTATTCAGTCATTAAATCTTAACCTATTCAAGTCTTTCTTGCATCGTCCCAATAAATTCATTTCTTGACCTTTCTTACGCTAATACATCATCACACAGTAAACTCTACCTGGATATTTCTTGGGCCTTGTATTGGGTTAACTTTTAGCTAAAAGATAGGTCACCGCGTAGAGCTCGTCCTAGATACAACTGGGAATTATTGTTTATGGAAAGTATATAAAATCTCCTCTTCTTTAATAAGAGCTATAAAAAGGGATAATGTTTGTTTATTTGGCACATGCTTTTCTTTTCTTTCTATTTTGTTTTCTTCCATGAAATATCTTACGTGATCTTAATGCACTCGAACTGCTTTTCTACACGCAGGCATCATCAGCTTGTTTTTATCCGATGTTATGGATATTGCAGATCTGTCTTTTCCGAGAAGAATGGACGTCCATTTAACGGTGAGCTATCTTCTGCTTCCGCTATTCTCATGTCACGGATTCTCCGCGATAAAGAAAAATACCCCCTAAAGAAAAAAAAAATACTCTCAAACTCAAAGGCAAAATCCTGATAAACATATAAAAAAATAACTGCATTATTTATAGACGGTTTGACGTCAAGATGGCATTATTATTCAATTCAATGCCTGCAAAGAAGCGTTTCAAAATTCATAACGCTATTTTAAAAACTTGTGATTACACACACAATCACGGATTTTGTTAATTTTTTCTTCATGTCATTATGCTTTATTTGCAGTTCCCAGTTCTCAGTGCAATGGAATATATGCCAGTGTACACGCAATAGCAACGGTGGTTGGATGTAGTCACAGTGTTAATGCGCAACTGAAAAACAAGCCACTTCCTTATACATATCTCGGTTTAGTTTGGTTTGGTTTGGTTTGGTTTGGTTTACGGTATATCAACCTCAATTGGTTATTTAATGCCAACAAGATTTTTATTGCTGTTAATATTTTTATTCTTTCTTTCTATCTATCTATCTATCTATCTCAGTCTGTTCATATCTATCTATCTATCTATCTATCTATCTCAGTCTGTTCATATCTATCTATCTATCTATCTATCTATCTATCTTAGTCTGTTAATATCTATCTAACTATCTATCTATCTTAGTCTGTTCATATCTATCTATCTATCTCAGTCTGTTCATATCTATCTATCTATCTATCTATCTATCTATCTATCTATCTATCTCAGTCTGTTCATATCTATCTATCTATCTATCTATCTCAAAATATATTGGTTTGGTTTGGTTTGTTTTACGGCATATCGACCTCAATAGGTTATTCAAAGCCAACAAGGTTCTTATTTCTGGTAACATTTTTATTCTCTCTCTCTCTCTATCTATCTCAGTATATATTGGTTTGGTTTGTTTTACAGCATATCAACCTCAATGGGTTATTTAATGCCAACAAGATTTTTATTGCTAGTAATATTTTATTATTAGAGATAAAATATGTCAATTTCGTAAATCATGTCCTCTCTGTATGAGTTTACCGTCAGTTGAGTGCGATATTTTCTAAGCAAATTTCAGTTGGTGTAAGAAGCTGTTACTTTTACGTATTTTGTTTGCTGCCAGACCCCTATATTGAGTCCGATCCGTTCATATTATTTCTGGAATTTACAAATTCAGATGTCCGTGCGATGCTGACTCTGTAGGCAGATCGGGTCAAAGTCTGGAGGTACCCAACACGTTGCAGCCAATATTCGAAAAGGAAAGGTGGACAATTTATATAGCTGAGTCAATATTTCAGGTTTATTTCATTAAAAATTAACGTTGCGTTCGGTCTTATAGCTCTGAACTCTTTTCAATGCTGAGTAAGGCTAATACGGATTATCACTGGAAGGTTTTGGAATCAGTATATATTAAGACCTACCAACCACCCCTTTGTAAACAAGAGTGGTTAGCGGTCTTAAATGCTGGCCTTTAATGTTATATTTTTGTTAGAATATAACATTAGACTGAAGATGTCTATTTTTAGTTGCTGTGAAAATTATTTTTTGTCCTCTATTTTTACTTTGAGAACCGATAAACCAGTTTAGCTGTTTTCTATCGTTATATTTTGGAATTACCAATTTATGGTAATATCTATTTTTGTTACACCTGTTTTGTTATAGTGGTTTTCTAAGCGTAGCTTAGATGTGACACAAGGTAAAAAATATAAGATAACTAGTAAGAATTGAATTAACAACTCAGTTGTAATTGATCTAGCAACACAAGCTTGCTAACTACTACACCACATCGAAATCTCCCCTTTTGCCTTTTTTTTTTTTTGCTATGAATGTCCTTTCAATATATATGTCTTATTGCTCTACTGAATCTTCCTTATTTAACTTGTTATTTATTTCAATGTTTCCTTAGTTACTCCTGGCCAATCTGTGGTGCGAGCACCTTTGCCCTGGGTCCAGTATGTGGATCTTTAAAATCTGTGTCCATTGCTGTCCAAATCATCTCTGGGACTGTTGTTTATATATCCATCTGTTCGTCATTCTCGTTTTCATGCTTGAAATACTGTATACAGGTGTGAGGTCGCGTACTTTTGCATTCGGCGGCCGAATGTAACCCAGGTGGAAAATGCGCGCAGTGTCTATATTCCTACTTCATACTACAGAAGAAATTCTCAATTTCACCTGCAACGAGTGATAAAATTAAACTATGATTTATGTAAACAAAAGATTTCATCCAAAATATCCTGGAAAGTAATCGTGTCTACTTTAACTATTGCAAACAAGCGCCAGCGAGGTGAAGAGAACGAATCGGCTGAAAGCGTTATCATAAAAACGCATGCGCATTTCCGGTCGCGAAAAATGATACCTTGTCATTTTTCGCGCCCGTAAATGTAGCTCGCTTAAGAAAATCTCAAAATGATAACACAAAAGAAATAATCTATATAAATGAAGTGCAGCGTACGTATGTCCGTCTGTCCGTTCATTTTTCTATCTCGTGGAATCATAAACAACCTGAAGTAACAGGTAGTAACTATTGTAGGTGCATGCGATTAAATATTAAATAAATAACTCATTTAAAATTACATTTAAATATCGAACAGAGTGGAAGGTTTAAAAAACAATTATTTATTAAATGTTTAAGTTTAATTTGGCTTTTCGTCGGAATTGCAATTGATATCGTCTAATTGAACTATAATTAAAACTTACGCGGGGTTAGATACGTTGCTCATATGTTTTTCTTTCTTTTTTTACATAGTTCAGGTTCACAAATGTCTTTTAAGAGCAATTTTATGTGAAGGGATCAGACAGAACAGTGATTTTAAAAGAAAATAAAAGTTGCACGCAAAATAAATGTAAACAAACGACAGTGATTGGTTATGTATACGAAGAAAGATTATGCCGAATTAAGGCGTCGAATAAAGATAAAATAATTTTCTAAATCTTTATACCTTTTACGTACACAGGACACTGAATGTAAACAATTTTTTATTACATTATTTTGTGTCCTCTATTTTTGTTTTAGACCCGCTAACCCAGTTTAGCTGTTTTCAATAATTTTATTTTGGAATTACCAAATTATGGTAATATCTATGTGCGTGTGGAAGGTGTTGTAGTCGTTCGTGTGTGCGTGTGTTCGCTCGCCCGGTTGTCTGCTCTCCTTGCCGCCCTGTACCACTCTACACGTCCTTATCGTCGTCGCTGAAGTCAGTAGTCTTTCGGGGTAGAACGCTTTCCGCATATGCATCCGAAGCGCCACCGCCGCCGTTCGCGACAATTTTTTAAACCGATCGCGAAAACGAACCCAAAAAACAAAATAAAATCCTGGACGGGGTATCAATGGGCTCGTGCGTCGATGAAAAGTGCGGACAGCCGCGAGAACTGATGTGAAAAGTTAGCCTAAAGTCCACCTGGAGGGCGACTTTTAGGTTCGTACTTCATAAATCCACCGAACAGAGTTAGCGCTGTTTAGTTATGTTTAGAGTGTGTGAAGTATCTTAATTTGTTCCTGTTAAGAAAACAACACAGAAAATTATATATTTGAAGTGCAAGTCATTAAAGTATATATTCAGTAAGCTTAGCTGCGTTATTATACAAACAAATTTGTACAGGATAATAAGGAAACAACGTAAAGTGCCGAAAAATTATTAAAAAAACGCCCTAGCAACTTATATACACGCAGTAAATATTACAATAAAGCCACTAAGATGAAAAGTGTTACTGAGTGTTAGAGAATATGAGAAAAATAATATTAAGGAGAAGTACAATAAAAGAACAATAATTAAGAAGACAGAAGATAACGGTTGATATTGTTTTTAAATATTTGAAGATCCAAGTTGACTGGATAGCAAGAAGCCGGAAACATTATTAAGGAGAGATGACAATAAAAGAACAAGAATTAAGAAGACAGAACATAACGATTAACATTGCACTTAAATTTTTGAAGAGCAAAGTTGACTTGGAAGCAAAAAGACGGAAGTGAATTCCACAAATGGGAAGTGCAACAGAAAAATCTGTTAGCATAGAATTTACGGTTACATTTAATAATTTAATCTCTAAAATGATGAGACCATAACTCCATTCTAGTACTGCGATTAAATTAATAAAGATAAGAAAAAAATTCAAAATAATTACCATAAAAGTATTTATAGAAAAGGCACAGGGGGCACCTCGACGTTGTGTAATGGTTAGAAAGCTTGTCTTGCATAGATCAATTACGACTGAGTAGTGAGTTCGATTCTCACTGGGTGTCTCATACTTTCGGCCTTGTGCCACATCTAAGCTATGCTTAGAAAATCATTAAGGGCATCTCGAGGCGGTGTAATCTATGTGAAAATTCGCTATAGAAAAGGCACAGGGAAGCTACTTTGTGGCGGTGGGAAAATGACTGAAGTCAAGATTCCAGGTCAGGACGAATAATATTGCAGATTCTTATTTGAAATTTATCAAGAATCTCTAAATATAGAGCAGGGACAGCAGAACATATGTAGCAGCAGTATACAAATTGCATACTTATATCGATTTTTCAAGCGTAGCTTAGATGTGGCACAAGGCCGGAAGTAGGAGGCACCAAGTGAGGATCGAACTCACTACTCAGTCGTAATTGTTTTAGCGAGACAAGCTTGCTAACCATTACACCTCTTCGAGGTGCCCACGAATTGTAAGACAGATTCTGGCAAGAAAAATTGTCTAGCGCGACACAGAAAACCAACCTTATAGCGCCAGACCTATCAATTGATTAAATTTACTCGAACTGATGTCCTTATTCGACCGTTATGCACCCCTCTAACATAGTGTATAACTGTAGGTTAAGCGGATCTTGTTAATTATACTATGTTTAATCCTTGGTTCATTGGAAACATTGGTTGGTTGATTTGTTTAACGGCATATCATTAGAACGAATTGGTGAGAAAAACTTAACTCATACTCCCCTCGTATTGAAAACGGAATAAAAACAACCATTCCGAATAAAAGGTTAAGTTCCAAATTCTTTTAATCTACGACAGACGACATAAGAGTGCCGTCTGTTACAATGGAGGAAATGTTGTGATTATACATGTGATATAGAAAAAAATACCTATTCTATATTGATATATGAATAAACTTAACGTAGCACAGAAATGAAGTAATGAGAGCTGAGTAGTATCTACCTACATATATGAGATTAACAGCTTGGCAATTTCGTCACTAATGAGGGAATGGCTCGAAGCGACCGAATTGCGGTTTTACTGACGCATTTTGAGAACGTAAGATACGCAAATGACACCATATTGATGGCAGACACGGAAAGAAAACTACAGGAAAGACAATATTATAAACGAAAGAAAGAAGAAAGAAATATATCTACCGCAAGGAAAGTTGGTTCTCTGTGTCGTGCCAGAAGGTTTTTCTCGTCTGAATCCATCCTTCAAATCGACAAATCTACCATTCGTCCTTGCATTGAATACTGTTGCCATATATGGTCTGGTGCCCCCAGCTGTTCATCTCGAGGTCCTCGATAAAATCCAGAGACGGATGTGCAATGTGATAGGTCCTGATCTAGCATCTCGTCTACAGACACTTTCTTACAGACGTGCTGTGGCTTCCCTCTGTCTTTTCTACAAGTATTTTCGTGGCAACTGCTCTGACGAGCTACTTTCACTGGTACCCCAACTGCATGAATTTAAGCGAGCTACTAGGTTGGCATATCGCTTCCACCCTTTCACTGTCGAAACAGTTAAATGTAACCACCTCTTCTACTCCAACAGCTTCTTCCCTCGCTTTTCCTGGTAGTGGAACTCCCTTCCTCTAATTTGCCTCCCTGATAGCTATAATCTTCAAATATTCATATAAAATATCAATCGATATATTCTGATGCCTTGATCCTGATCCACGTCCTTCTCTATATCCTTTCCTTAAGCACCCCTCTTTAATCTTGCTCTAACTCTCAGTTACCCTTGTGCGCTAGTGGCAGGCACCCCCTCCTTGCTTGGGGTAAAATGCTTAATATATATATATATATATACATATATATATATATATTATAATTTTATCATATAGACAAAACCATTTTACTCAATACAAAGATGCAACTTTAAAATTTCAACTGCACCTCAACTGGTGAGAACCATAAATGATTATGAATAATTCTGCAATTCAGAATTGTTCATAACCATTTTCGATTCTCACTCGTTGAAGTGCAGTTGAAATGCACTGAAACCAAGTTGCATCTTTGTAGTGAGTAAAATGGTTTTTGTACATGATAAAATTATAATAAATAAATAATTATCGCTCTACTATTGGTATCGAGCCCTATTTTGGATTAATGCTCTGAACGTTGGAATTTATATATTACTTTCGTTCTCATCGCATCGGATATATATATATATATATATATATATATATATATATATATATATATATATATATATATATATATATGGTCGTCAGCCATAGGGACAGACCAATGATGCTATCTACGAATTAGAAGAGTAGAAGAGACAGAATTACAGACACATACCCAGTAGTGGTACCTTACCGAATCGATTCTTTATATTATAAAAGCTTAGCGAAAACGGTTGTTGGATTATCCAAAAATAATCTCATATAATAATAATGAATATATCATAGCTAAAAATATAATAATATACCATTGCTGTAAGTTCTACGGAGGCTGAAAAAGAGTTTTCTGTGATGAGCTTACGTTTATTCTGACAAAAGAAGCCGTGTTAAATTTTCAAATGTGGCAAATCTTCTAGTTATAAGTTTGATAGGTCTTCCATTGGATCTTTGGGACTGCAGAGATTCAGTTCGAATGTGGCTAAGAAACCATAACAGAATCTAAAAGCATCATACTTCTGAACAGAAATAGGACTGACAGAATTTCAATTAGGATATATCTTAATAAATAAATAATTTTCTTCATCAAAATGGTTTAATTCTTTTAGATACTATAAAGTGATTTGTTTCCATTCTCAGATTGAAAAGAAAATAAGCAGAATGGGCTCTTAAAGATTACCTGCCTTTATAGAACCAGTTCCTGAAAATGTGGGATGCTGTTATTGCATGTGGGAAGTAATATAACAGACGACAAAATATGTGACAACGAAGATCGAATGTTCTTTGGAATGGCGAAAAATGTCTTTCAAAAGCCAAGGAAAGTAATAAGAAACATGGACAGGTTTTTAGAAAGAAAGAAAATAGTGTTAAACTACATTGTATTATCTAATCGGGTCACTCCGCTTCGCTTTACTGCCTCATCTTAAATTTCTTTCCGTTTTCCATCTGATATTGTTATCAGAAAAGCATATCTTGCTCATCTTCTTATTTATGTGCAGTTTCTGTTCAAGACTTAGCCAATCATGGCAATCCACATTATCCTTTCTCTTGTAGCTCTTAATAAATTTTGTCTTTTTGTTATTTCACACCAAAACATTTCTACCATCAATTTATTGCGTCCTGGGTACAACAATAAACTGCATCCGCGTCCTGGGTATGACGATAAACTGCATCTCCGTCCTGGTTAAGACAATAAATTACATACGCGTCCTGGGTATGACGATAAGCTGCATTCGTGTCCTGGGTATGGCGATAAAGTGCATTCGCGTCCTGGGTATGACGATAAACTGCATCCGCGTTCTGGGTATGACAATGAACTGCATCCGGTCCTGGGTAAGACTATAAACTACATCCGCGTCCTGGGTATGAACAAACAGCATCCGCGTCCTGGGTAAGACGCTAAAATACGTCCAACAGCAAGGCCTCTGATCAGGAGGTTTTGAGGAGCGTGGAACCACCTCGTAATTGCTGTTGTTTCCAGGTCCACCCTGACCCTGGGTGGTATTATCTGTTAAGGTCCCAGCTATGGGCAAATAGTTGACCCCACAACTTGACTCAAAACACTATGAAAGTGTAAAAATAGATTTTAATACCATAAATACTTTTATAAAAAATTAGTATCAGCAATAAAGAAAATATTACTTGTAATAAAAATCTTGTCAGCATTAAATAACCCATTAATATGCCACAAAACAAAACAAACCAAACTATACATTTTTTTAAAAGAAATATTACCAGCTATACATTTCTGAAAAAATATTACCAGGTATACATTTTTGAAAAATAAATGGAAATATTGTCGGCATTAAATAACCCATTGTGGTTGATATGCCGTAAAACAAAGAAAACCATCAATTTATTCAATCCCATGTTACGCGCGATATTTTCCTCTGTCCCTCAATCCGCCTTGTGTGTATCAGATTTTCCAAGCCTTCCTTCTTCATTACATGCCCCACAAATTTCAACTG